TCCTGTGAAAGATTAAATTTGTTCTCCAGAAATCCAAGGGTTAGCATTAGGAACAAGTATGAGAACGATGCACTCCGAGGAAACGAAAAGCCACGTGAAAGCCAGCACTGCGTCTATCTTGTTCTCACGGGTGCCGGGGTAAAGAGAACTCAGCAAGTTCTTGGCAAATAGCAGGTCTCGTTTTAATAAAAGTTAATCAACAAAGCGTAAGAGCTTTCTAAAAAAAAAAAAAAATTCAAAGACTAAACGGGCTTCCTAGGAGGCATTCATATACCAACCTTAAAGATTTTTCAACAACTTGAGTACGATAAACTTCTTCCTGGTCCAAATTTATGGTACAGAAACAATCTCTCATTTTGTTGGGTCCAAGATATGGCAATAAATTTTTTGCTCCACCTGTCAGCAAAAAAAAAAAAAAAAAAAGAAATTTTTATATTTAAACATCACCAACTGCTCACGCTAAGCCTTACATAGGATAAATTCAATCCCAAAGAACACATTCCCAGTAGCAGAGAGGGGAAAAAACCCACCAGTGACTAGAGGAAGATCGATTCGGTCTAAAGGGGACTGGCGTGACCGGAGGGAGGAGCTGTGTGTAAGGCAGGTGTGAGGTCAGATTACAGCACCGCACTGATTCTGTAAAAGGGCACCCCACCTGTGCTCTTCATCCCATCCCACCAGCAGCACCTCAGAGGCTTTCCTTCACAATTCATCTCTTTCCTGAATTAGCATTCCTCTCCGACTCTAGTGGATTCTTCCCACCAGCACATAAACAAACATGAGAATCTCTCAATTTTCAAAAAGCAAACAGGGCTGGCCCTGTGGCCTAGCAGTGGAGGGAGCCAGATCCCACAAGGCTGATTACAGTCTGAACCCTGGTCCCAGCGGCTTGAAAAACACACCAAGCACGTACACACACACACACGCATCCCGAGTCCCGCTAGCATGGAGAAATGAAGGAAAGGGGACTGCGGTGTGATCGCACCTCACTGGGGGTGCGTGCTCCCTCTCCCTGTCTCTCTCTGGTGAATGCATGCATCTTTTGGCAATTTAAAAAATGATAGTAATAGAAACGTCCTCTTCTCTTGGCTCCTGATGACTGGTCCCCTGCAGAGTTGTCCTAAACGCTGAAATGCCTCCTCTCAGTTCTGGACCACTTTCTCTCCCTTCTCTGTGCAAACGCCTCCAGCACACAGCGGCAATGCGGATGCCTCCCAGATCTGCATCTCAGGCCTGACCTCTCCTCCACCCCAGATATGCATATTCCAGTCTCCTTGGTATCCAGGAGGCATCCAAATTTAACAGTCTCAGGTAAGTTACCACGATTTCCTCCCCCTAAAACATGCCCTTCCTCTCGTCTACCACCATCTTCCTCACCATCCTCCCACTTCTCCCATCAGTGAAATCCAGCGAACCTCCACAACAAATCCCAGGTCCAACCAGTTCTTGTGCTCACGGCTCTCACTGAGCTCTCTGAGCCACCATAATATCTAATCTGGGCAAACGTGACAGTTTCCTGACTGGTGCCTGTTCTACTACTCTTCCTAAATCCATTCCCCACAAAGCAGTATGACCTTTCATCCAAGTCAGTCACTCCTCTGCTTCGATACCACACAGCTTCCCTTAGAGTAAAACCCCACTTCTGTGCATGGTCCATGCGGCTCTCCTGCTCTCCCGGTGCTCACTCTCTTTCCC